TGGATAATTCAATATCTTTAGTATATATGCAGATATTTTCTGCTTGAAAACAGCAAGATATACTATAAAAAAGAAAGTTAATCTATGCTTTGTAACTTCATAATTTGTATGTTTTAAAATTATTGTAACAGTGTAAAATTGATAAGATCAGAAACAAGTGGACAATAATTATAAATTCATTTGAAGCTGACCTCTCCATATTTTCTCTCAGGGTTCCCTCCCTCCCCCATATATTGTTCAGGTTTTCTGAGCATCAGAAAAGAGCTAATTGAGACTGATGGACAAAGCATATTTTTGCTTCTCCTGTTTTCTGAAGATTTTTACTTATCTTTCCTGCCTTTTCTTCTATCACAAAATTGCCCAATAATACTCAATAAGAAGTAACATCTGCCCCTACCAATAATTGCTGTTTGAGAACAACAGTTTTATGCTTAGGTTATCACATAAGAAATACAATTGCACAAGTACCCAAGGCAGAAGAATATTTTCTCTAAAGTAATTAAAGTGATTGGTTTTTTAGCTTAACTCATTTTAAACTTTTAAAGCATTTATGCCAAGAAACAAATTAAACTAATATAACTTTCTTGCTATTTTTGTATTAATATTAAAACTAATCATAAAGAGATAGCATGTAACTTTCCTTTTTCTCTTGCTGGGCTTAAGACACATTTATTCAGAAAGAGATCTCATTGAGACCAGTGGTTTCCTCTTCTAATTACTTGGAACCAGCAAGTGCAATACTTTTTAATAAATTATAATTTGTAAACTGAAAATTATAGTACTGAAAGCAGGTATATTTCCTCCTTGTGGAATTTTCCAATCTCTCCTATGCAAGGTTCTGTACTGTGTTTTGATTAATATGCAGTTATTTTCTTCAGCTATGCATCCCTTTTCATGGGGATTTTTGAGATTTCCATTTAGCATAATTTCTATCATTCATTAAATGCTAACATATCAAATCATTATAGAATGGAGATACTGAATAATTAGGAAGGCATCTATAGCTGCTAGCTAAAGTTCATTCTTGTTAATAATAATACTTATTATTATGACTGGTTGCACAGTCAGCCAGATGTTTTGACTGGATTTTGCACTTTTGTTCACCAAAGAGTCTTTCCTAAGGACCTGAGATTTAGACAGATGTTATTGTTATTGCTGCTGCTGCTGCTGTTGGTCTTGGGAGTAAAGCTTTCTGGGCCACAAGGCAAATGTAAATCTAAGAGCCATGTCTCAGCTGTAGCCATTGAGAAGGAGAGTCCCATAGCTATTTCTTCTAGGCCAGGGGTAGGCAACCTTGGCTCTTTTATGACTCGTGGACTTTAACTCCCAGAATTCCTGAGCCAGCTATGCTGGCTCAGGAATTCTGGGAGTTGAAGTCCACGAGTCATAAAAGAGCCAAGGTTGCCTACCCCTGTTCTAGGCTGTCACCACTGTAGTGTCTGATAAGTATCTCTCCTCTAACTGAGGGGAGGTTGGTAGTGGAAACGATAGTGATGGTGCTGATTCCGAGACAGCTAACTCAGCACAGCAGAATAAAACTGAAGAAGAAGCAGTGGTCCCTCCCTCCCTTCTTTTGTATGATTTCTCCACTACAACTCATCTTGGGGGTCTCTTATGACCAGGTTTGCAGGTCCCAAGTGACTACCTCTGTCTTCACTATTAGTACATCCCTGATTAGATTGGTAATCTATTTCACTTCTGGGAATTTAAGATTTTATACAAAGCACTCCCTCTTCATTGTTTTTCCCTGCAACTAAAACATTGTCAAATAGTTAGACTAAGAAAATAATGACTAGCCAGAGTCACCCAGTGAGCTTACATAGCTAAAGGAAGTCATGAAGTTAAGTGTTTTTTATCCTAATCAATTATTTTACCTGTATATAGCAATAGCAGACTTATATACTGCTTCGTGGTGCTTTACAGTCCTCGCTGACTTTGCAAAAGTTTTGTATAATGCTTATATCAAATGCTCAAATACAAGTTTTTTAAAAAATAATTATAAATTTTACATGTGTTAGTAATAACCAAGGAAAAAGTAACTTCATTTTATCTGAGATACCTACATGAATTAAATAAGGCAGTGGATGTCTTCCATTAGATTTACCAAGTAGAGTCGGGTGGCTTTTTAGAATTTTTAATTGACTATTATTATTATGACTATATGGTAGCTAGGTCTTTTTCTGTGTTTCTGTGACTAAATTAACATAATGAAAATTACTCACTGTCAAACTTACAGTATGTATAGAAATACTACAAAAATCTGAAATACTTGCTATTTCATGTTATGCATATCTTTTAACAATTTATGTTATTGTTAGTTCTTCTAAGGTTTATGAAGAGAGTTCTATAATTAATTAGATAATTAAGATCTAGTATATTATTCTTCTCATAATAATATTTATCAGATTTATATGGCCACCCACCTCAGATGATGTGTCTCTAGATTATATATAAACAAACCAAAATAACCTGATGCATGGACTGTTGTAACCAAATACTCTGGAAGGTTTTCCTAATGTATTAAAATAGTTACAAATGATGATTTTCTACCCTGATGGAGAAACTGCTTTGAATGCTTTTCTTGGGTATTTATGTGTGTAATGTGCATGCATGTA